AGTATGTGTTTGTTGTAGAGTAGTTAAAAAAGAAAAAGAAAAACAGAAAAGTTGTGTACTAGCACTAAGAATACTCAGAATTCAGTTATCAGATGTAACCAACACCGTCCCTGTTTGTTTTCCGTGTGCATGTGTGTTGCTCCTTAGGAGTTACCTGGTGCGGTCTGTGGGTTCTGGATCAGAAAGAAGGAATTATTTGGAAGTGACTACATTTTGTTGTTTTGTTTCTCAATCAGGGTCAGTGCACGTCTATATCTCAAGAGCCATTCACTGGATTAGTTCCTTTTCTTGCTGCTCTAACCACATACCTGACAGGAAGTAGCTTAGGGAGCAGAGGCGATTCTGGCTCCTGGATGCCAGAGACCCGCCTGCCCCCTCCTCTCCAGCACCGGGCTGACAAACACCAGCCACTCTTACCACACCTTCTTGTTGTTGTTGTTTTGTTTTCCTCAATGTGGTTCTGGGAATGAAACTCAAGTCTTTGTGTCTCAAGGCGAGTGCTTTACTGACTGAGCGATTTGAAACCTCGTTCTTAGAAGAATTCCTTTTCTTATTCTGGAAGCAGAGCACTGCAGATCATTTCCTCACAGTTGCCTCTGTGTGGCTTATGCTGCATGAGAGGGCCTCCTCTAAGTCAATTAAAGCATCCTATAAGTACTTTCTGTACTAGATACAAAGACTATGAATGGTGCTAAGATCTAGATGCAGAAGTAAGAATACAGACAGGAAAATATAGCTTTAGATATTGTGATAGTTTCAATGTAATTGGTCCCCAGAATCTCACAGGCCTGGGCACTGTTAGGAGGTGTGGTTTTGTTGGAGTGGGTATGGCCTTGTTATAGGAAGTGTGTCACAGTGGGGGCAGACTTTGAGGTTTCCTATGCTCAGGATATTGCTCAGTGTCTCAGATGGCTTCCTGCTCCCACCAAGCCAAGATATAGCCAGCACCATGTCTGCCTGCACGCTGATATGCTCCCCATCATGATGATAATGAAGTGAACCTCTGAAACTGTATGCGAGCTACCTCAATTAAATGTTTCCTTATAAGAGTTGCTATGATCATGGTGTCTTTTCGTGGCACTAAAAATTCTCTTATATCAATACCCAAGAAAGAATATAGTCAATAGATTAGACAGTGGGTATATAATTAAATTAGGTCAAACTAGGTAGAATGTCTTTAGACAGGAAAGCATCCATACAGTGCACCACCAGGCTTGGAAAACATTTGTTATTGTGGTCTTAGGTGCATTTCCTCTTATAATTTTACTTTGTGTTTAGTGATTTGGCATGTAGCAGCACAGAGCCCACTGTGCTCCTGAGGAGGATGCTGTTGGTCCCTCACAGTGCCATTGGTTAACTTCTATCGTAACTAAGGAAAACTGTGGAGGAATGGCAGAAGCCATTAAACTTCTTCTTTCCATAACTATGCTATTAAAAGGCAAATCACTTATTGGTCAGTAGGCAGGAGGAGTGGACTCTATTTGTCTATCAAGAACTATGTGTATCCATACCTGAAACTGAACTGGAGGAGATTGGGATGTCAATGCAAATTTGTGGGCTCAGCAAAAACTAATTGCTGATGACAACTATGATTAAAAAAATAAGAAGTCAGTTAAAAGAGAAGGTTAATATTATGGGAAAATAAATTATTACCAAAAAAGCCCAAAGATTAACCAAAACAATACAGTGGTTTATAGGGAAATAAAAACAAACAAAAAATCCCACAAAAAACAAGCATATATGCTTAAGAGTACATAAAGCAAAATTACCCAAGGAGACTAGTAAAGAGTTCTAAAAGAAATGTACACTATGGAGAAAATTGTGTGAATTGAAGATACTGACAAACTAATAAGTGAAAATTTGCTTAATAAGCTTAAATGAGTTCTATTATTATAATGAATGCAAAGGCCCCTTTCCTCTGAGGTAAGCACTTTGCACAGTTTGACCCATACTATGAATATGGGGCACTTTAAACCCTTCTGAGTGTCCATGGCAACTGTCAGAAGCCACAGTCATCTGATATTGCAGAGGCTGGTTCATGATGCTGAAGGGCTCACTGGGGTCAATTGGGAGACATGACGCTTGCTCCACAAGTCAGCTGGGTCAGCTCTCCACAAAGCCAATGCATTCTTCTTAGAACCCCACAGTGACATACGCAGTGGGGAAACTGGAGAAGGCAGAGAGGTGGATGAACAATAATCAGGAAGCAAACTGGAATAGGAGCCTCTCGGGGAGGGGCTTCAGCTTTTGAAAGGCTATCAGTGCGTAAACAATGGTGAACAGGTGTTCGTCATCTCTTATTGAAGCCAACACAATCTACTTTGACCAAGCTAGATTCCAGAAAGGACATCCTGCTGTAACATTAGAATTCTGGCTTCTAAACATGCAGATGGGAAGACACTGGTGTACGTTAACGTGAGAAGGTTTTCAGAGGATACTTGTCAGTTGTTTTTGCCATACGTATTGCAGAATTCTATATCTTAGTGAAGGCAAATAAAGAAATCCTCTGTATGGCATGTTGTGTTTCGCTTGCCCACCTGTAGTATCATACTCACAAGGATAATGTCCAGAGTTTGAACACAAATACTGTTTGTTGATGTGGGATTCCATACCCCTCTGTAAGCTGTGAATACCATTGGTGAATAAAGAAACTGCCTTGGCTTGTTGATAGGACAGAAATTATGTAGGCAGGGAAAACTAAACTGAATGCTGGGAGTAAGGAGGTAGAGTCAGAGAGAAGCCTTGTAGTCCTGCCAGAGACAGACACCGGAATACCGGAACTTTAGCTCATAAACCACAGCCATGTGGTGATACACAGATTAATGGAGATGGGTTAAATTACTATGTAAGAGTTAGCCAATAAGAAGCTAGAATAATGTGCCAAGCAGTGTTTTAAGTAATATATTTTCTGTGTAATTATTTTGGGGCTGGACAGTTGGGAACCAACAAGTAGCCTCACTACAACAAATTGCCATGCCAATGTGGCCAACTAAAATCCATGTAAAACCTGAGAGGGTTTGGAAAGAAATTCTAGACACTAAAACATAGTTTAGCTGCATTTATTTTTCTGAATGGGCTTTGCTTGCTGGTGACATGTTGTGGTTCCTTTAATAGAAGTTTTCCTGGTTTAGCAGTAGCAGAAAAAAAGTCAGGTGTTCATATGTGCATGGATTAATGCCAGGGTCTTCAATTCAATATATATGTATGTGTATATATATATACATATATTCTAATTTTCATCTTTTAAAAACACCCTGACTATGGTAGGGAGAACAGATAGGAGTCTAGCAGGAGTGGAATATATATATATATATATATATATATATATATATATATGTATATATATATATACATATATATATATTATATCAGGCTGGATGGAAGTGGGCACATGGGTGATGGGTGATGGTGGACGTTAGACACTGGGCACGGTAGGAAGTGGACACACTGGAATGGGGGTTGACAGGTGATGGCAGGCTATAGGCTGTGGTCACATTGGCGTGTAGACACATTTAAATGAAAAATAGGAATATGGTTTGACATAAGTGGGAAAACAATGACTAGTTATTGTGGAGAGGAGAGGATGTAATGATAACAAAGGGAGAAGCCACACAGAACCTTCAGTAGAAATCCATGACCAGAGAGAAACATGGAGGTGGGGCACTCTGAGTATAATCTTTGAGTCTCTAGATCCGCCCTAAGCTGAAGATCAAGTGACTCCTTTCTATCAGAGGAAGCTGTGATTTCTATTCTGTTTTGATATTTTTCGTCACTTGCAAACCTGAACTATAGGCTAAGATAGATGGTGCTATAAATCACGGACAAGACTTCCAGCTGCAGCAGCGGATACGAGGCTGCTGCATCTGTGTGGTCAGGCAAAAGAAAGTTAAGACAAAAATGCGACAAATACTGGCGAAATAAGAGAAAGAATAAGAGAAAAAAGAGACAAACTTGGGGTGAGAATTCTCCATAACGAGGCAGCTAAATGGCTGGGGCTCAGTGCATGAGCTGCTCTTACTGGCTGACGAGAGTGAAAGTTGTTATTATAGTCAGGGAGGGGCCTTTAGAACCAGAGAGAGATGGGGCTGGGAGGTGTGGCGCGAATTCTAATTGGTCTTCATAATAAAAACCTGGAGTCAGATATTAGGGCCTGAAAGCTGAAAGATCAGAGAAGCAGAGCAGCTAGCTACTAGTTCTCACCTCTACAAAATCCTCAGACTCAATGGGGTATCCTGTCTCTACAAGTCCTCAGACTGAATACCTTGAGTTCCTCTCTCCTCCCACCTTATATTTCCCCCTCTGCCCAGCCATATCCTTCCTCCCTCCACCTCCCCAGTGCTGGGATTAAAGGCATGTGACTCCAAAGTACTGGGATTAAAACTGTGAGCCACCACCACCTGGCTCTGTTTCTCTTTGAGATTGGATCAATCCAGTGTAGTCCAGGGTAGCCTTGAATTCACAGAGTTCCATTTGCCTCTGTCTCCTGACTGCTGGGATTAAAGGTGTGTGCCTCCATTGCCTGGTCTCTTTGTCTAACTAGTGTCTTGCTCCATACTCTGATCCTTAGGCAAATTTTATTTGTTAGATTACAAACAAAATACCACCACACGGAGGAAACCACACAAAATCTAGAGAAGGTTTGCACAGAGAGTGGGCCAGAGCAGAGCAGGCACTAGAGAAAGAGAGAGAAAATGTAATTTAAGAAATGAAATGGACACAGATGCAGATTGCTTAGCCTGATGTCGCCTTGGTTGACATGCGGGATGTATGTGCTGCAGAACCAGAACTGCCATGTTACTGAAGTCATAGAAAAACTCAGCAGAATGAGACTCTTTTCTAAGAAAAATGCATAAATAAATACGTGGATCCGTATTGTATATGCTGGTTATGTACCCAATAAGCACACTCTTGTTTTTCTTTGCTGGCAGAACACTAAGATTTTTCTTCTCTGTCTCCCAGTATAGATCTCAGGGAAGCATCTGCGTCAATCACTGTTATCCGCTTGCCAGTGCCATGTCAACGGAACGTGAAGAAAGCCTGCTGGGGGAGGTATAGTGAGATGAATGTGTGACATTTCACTAGTGTGTCTAGTTGACTGGGACATTCGGTATAGGTATTTCATTAAATATTATTCTGAGTACATGTTGGGGATATTTATGAAGAGATAAACACTTGAATTAAGTGAAAATGATTTTTTTATTTTTTGCCAATGTTGACTTTTCTCATCGAATCCCTTGACAACCTGAACTGAATAAAAGACAATAATAAGGCAAATTAGACCTCTTTACCGGATTGTTTACTTGTAAGGAGAGGCATCTGTCTCTGCCACACTTTGAACATGGAACTCACACTATAGGCTCTCCTGATTTCTCAGGCTCTTAGGTTACAAATTTGGAGACATCTTTGTTTCTATAATTGTGTGAGACATTCTTATGAACACATCGTTCTTCATATATGTGTTTGTGCAACTGTACACACATGTATATTAGATCTTTTTTTTTGAGAACCCTGAAAAATATACAAGCAATGACCCTAGAAAAGTCATGACTAGGGCTAGTGGTTAAGCAAGACCAAGCAATGCCACTTTTGGGTATATATCCAAAAGATAATCAATCATATCACAAGGACATGTGCTCAACTATGTACATAGCAGCATTGTTTGTTATAGCCAGAGCCTGGAACAACCTAATATGGATAAGGAAAATGTGGTACATTTACACAGTGGAGTACTACACAACAGAAAAAAATAATGACATCTTGAGATTTGCAGGCAAATGGGTGAATCTGGAAAACATATTGAGTGAGGTAACTCAGACCCAGAAAGACAATTATCACATATACTCACTCATAAGTGGCTTTTAAACATAAAGCAAAGAAAACCAGCCCACAAATCACAATCCCAGAGAACCTAGACAACAATGAGACACTAAGAGAGACATACATGGATCTAATCTACATGGGAAGTCAAAAAAGACAAGATCTCCTGAGTAAATTTGGAGCATGGGGATCATGGGAGAGGGTAGAAGGGGAGTGGAGAGGCAGGGAGGGGAGCAGAGAAAAATGTAGAGCTCAATGAAATAAAAAATAAAAAGGAATGTTTGCTGCTTTTACAGGGAACCCACATTTGGTTGTCAGTGCGCATCTCAGGTGGCACACAACTTCCTATAATTCCAGCTCAAGGTATCCGACATCCTTTTCTGGCTCATGGGCACCCGCTTTTGCCCATGCCTGTGGACACAAGTGACCATACACTCACCCGCACACGAATAAAAAAAAACAAATCTTTTTGTTTGTTTTTAGAAACAGGGTTTCTGTATGGAACAGCTCTGACTGTCTTGGAACTTGCTCTTGTACACCAGACTGACCTCAAACTCACAGACATCCTCCTGTCTCTGCCTTCTGAGTGCTGGTATGAAAGGTGTGTGCCAATATCACCTGGCAAAGCAAATCTTTAGAATAATTTTTATCTATGAGAAAACTCAGAACTTACTAAGAAGAGTCCCAAGGGAGCAGGAAGGGTCGTAGCGAGGCTGTAAAGATGGAGGCAGGCACGGGCCAAAGAGCCCTGTGAGAATGTAGGTATAGACTCAGAAGATGCAGGCCCAGAGGAGGCCTATGAGTGTCAGAGACATGGAAGAACCAGGAAGACTATTGCCTGAAGCTTTTAGAGGGAGGCCCACACAGCTAACACCCTGGTTTCAGACTCCTGGCTGTGGTAAAAATAAATTTTTGTTGATTAAACACACCAAATGTGCAGCAAGTTGTTTGAAAAATTCAAAATTTCAAAGGGGGCTTGTGGGTAGCGTTTCTTCACTCAAAAGTCTCGTGGGAAGAAATGACAATGTTGGCCCTTTGGGAGAATGGTGGATAACTACGTAACATGGGTACAGGCTGAGCTGGACAGAAGTCTGCAGAGACAGAGCCCAGCTAGTCCCCACATAAGGATAGAAATGTGGATGCTAGACTGAGTGCAGCAGGTCCAGGAACCCAACAAACAAAGCCATTCTCTGAAAATACTGTGTTTGCCTTCTGTTCACTTGCTGTCTCTGGGGCTGGGCTGGGGTGGCCTTTTATTATGTTTTGACAAGTGCTGCCTAAAGTGAGTTGTCTGCCTTGCTGGTTTGTGATGACAGACACGTCCTGGGTTCTTTGCTCATGTGACAGGAAGAAGTCACTTGTCACCCGTTGAGCACTAGGATGATGTTGCATCCCATGCCCTGCAGTTCCTGCCACCTGTTACCACAGGATCTCCAGATGCATGCATCAAACCCCTTGTGCAAGATTTGGCCTTTTGTTTTGTTCTATGTGTTAGAGATTGGATCCCATGTAGACTAGGCTGCTGGTTCTCCTGCCCGTAGCTCCCATGAACTGGGAATTCAGGGGTAAACCTCCACACGTGGCTGATTTGTCTTTGTTTAGATTCTTTAATTCTTGTCCCTGAAACCTCATTTTCCTCAAGGTTATCTTATGAAATTCGCTTTACATATTTTTCTCTTTCAAAGAACTCTTTTGTTTTTACTTCTAACCTCATTAACTCTTTCCTAGCTCAGGTTAGTAAAACAAGTCAACCAGCCAATCACTCCAGGAATGTGATAATGGGGTCACAATTAACCATCTTGTTGGTATACTGAAATGACACACACATACCCTAATAGGGGCGCCTTGGAGACCAAGAGTTTTAGGAACTACAGATGAAGGGAGGGACATGGTGATGTGATAGAAGCTGATTTTGCATCTCCCTTGCTTTCAGATTCGGTCCTTTGCTTGTTGATTTCCTGGCTTTAATAAAGTCATTTACCCTTCTGAGCACCCAATTCAGTGTCCCCAAGTCCATGCGGGATGACATACTTACCGGATTGGGGCTGAGGATTACATGGGTCACCTGGGAATGGACCTGCTGCCTCTGTGCCAGGCACATAGTAACGGATGCTCTTAATATTTCTGAGCCCAGTTTCTCAACCCTGGCACCGTCAAGGATACTTCAAAGCATTGTTGGATACTTATCAAGACTCCAATGTATGCTCTCTAAATTCTTGTTGCTTTCCTATCCCTAAGCTCAACAATAAAAACAGCATCAGGTATTACCTAAATTCCCTGAGGTGGGAAATCATGCAGTTTATATCCCCTGCCTAGCATAATGTGGGAAGGCCTCTGAGCTCTGCCCTAGAACTAGCGGTAGATGAGTTTCTGTTCTCTGTATCTCTCTTTCTGTGTGTATTAGAATTTACACAAATAATCTTGCTATCTCTCTCTCTCTCTCTCTCTCTCTCTCTCTCTCTCTGTGCGTATTGAAGTTTATACAAATAATATTGTTATGAATAGGTAATGTTGTATAGCCATTTCATCAAAACTGGAACATTCTCTCCTAGAGTCAGGAGGGAGATTCATTGGACTCATGAAGTAAACAAAACCTACACGCCCAGGGAAATTGCTAAAACTTTTGAGCGGTAAAGTCCCTCTTGAAGGCTATAGATGCAGTAAAGATTGCTGGTAGGAGGAGACTCTTGGATTGGCCAAGACACATGCAGTTGTGCCAGAGATGTAGCTGCTGCAATAAGCTGTTGCTCACACATGGATAGGTTTTGGGGGAGGCACTTACCTCTCAGCCACATATGATTCTTTAAGCAATCCCTTAGCTGCTCTCCCAGAAACAATCCCAGTAAACCCACTTCCCAAGACTGGGGAGAAATCCTACCTGTCTTTGCCTGTCTGTGACCTGCTTGGATGGAGAGGTGTTTATTCAAATCCCTACAGAGAAATTCACACCGTGAGGGGCAGTTTCCTACATAAACAAAAATAATATCCCCTCCAAGAATGGAAGAGTTGGTCCTTGGCTGCTCTTCCGATCTGCCCATACCTATACTGGAGAAGAGAGACTTTTAAAGGTATGGGAGTAGAGTCTGAGGGTTGAATGATGTCCCAGTGCTAACGTTTCTTTGATATCTTATTTTTTGCCCTTGAAAATGAATGGTCATTTTTATGTCAGCTCAATAGTATACTTGTTATTGTTTTCATTCTCAACCTTTAAAGTGCTAAACTTCTAAGGAGAGGTGATGCTTCCTCCTGCGGCTTTAAAAGCTGTCATCTCCGTGTCCTGAATATCACAGATTGAAACAATGGCCCTGACTTCCTCATGTCCACAGTCACTCTTAGGGGTGCACAGCGGCTTCCTTGTTGGCACCTTTCTCTGCATGTCTCTTCCTAAAGCAACAGTTTTTTTTTTATTTAATGCAAAGCATTTAGACAGGGTAGAATAGAGCGACTTTGCCACTGTGGCTATTCTTAAAATTTACTAAATCAGAGAAGCACGTTATTATTGTAAGTTTTCTCATTTTTATGACTTGGTGAGCTACTTCTGAAGGTACTGCTTCTCCTGCTGTTACAAACACCTGGCATGGCTAAGGGTAGACAGAGGGCTAAGGTCACCCGCCTGAAAAGAACATCAGCATCTCAGTTACCCTCTGATGCTGTTGCAGACCCTGACATCCCTCCACTGGTTACCTGGCAACCATAGATTATCACAGATAGTATACATTAAGCATGAACACTGGGTATGGACACAAAAGGGATTCTGCATATTTTCATGAAACGGAAATTGTGAACTGTCTGGAATGACTTTAGAAACCTCAAAATCCAAGGGCCTTCATATCCTTCAGAAGCCCTATATGCCTGCAGGCTACAGCCATATACACTGCAGCCTTAGAGCTGGAGGATGTTGAAGTCCTGTCTACAGCAGGGAAGAGTTCCTCTTCAGAGCATTTCTTGCAGGAAGACGTAAGCTCTCATTTATAGGTGCTTTATTCAGGTATCACGTGTACACACACACACACACACACACACACACACACACACACACGAGAGTGGGAAATCTGGGGGTAAATGGAAAAGTTTTTATATTAGGGTGTTTTAAACATTGTACTTAATGTCTGAAAACTTTTCCAGAGAAAGTTTTCTTGGGAAAGGAGAGAATAAGGTATGGGGGGATTGTGCCAGCAGTTGAAGGGGTGTGGACTGCGTCTTACACATGATGGTACCAGCAGCACAAAGAAAGTCTAGAATTCAATGTGGCCAATGTGTTGCAAGACGAAACACAGCCTAGTTAACTGAGCTTGGGAGAAGTCTGTTGCTGCATCTGGTTAAGAAGAATGTGACCTTTATCTGCACGGATGCTGTTTTTCTCCAAATGGACCCTTCATGGAGATTACTACCCTGAGAAGAATTTCAGCTTTAGAACAGAAGTCATGGGACCCTGGGGTTGCTTACATATTAAGAAGGATATAGGACAATCAGAAAATGTTTTCATAGTAAAATGGCAGCCATCCTACTCATTTATGCAAATTCCCTGAGACAGTCTGCAGCTATTTATCTGACTCATCTGAAAGCAAACAGTCAGATTGATAGCCCATTGCTAGAAAACTGTTAGGAATCCCCAGAACTGAGAATTGTACTACAGACATGCTTTATTCTCTTGAGACAATCAGAAATTCAGAACACTTTTAGGCATTCATTTAAGGACTTATTTGTTTTTATTTTGCATGCATGAGAATTTGGCCTGCATGCACTTCTGTGCTGTGCATGTGTGCCTGGTGTCTGTGGAGGCCAGAAGAGGGCCAGAACTGGAGGTCCAGAACTGCCATGCTAGCCCTGGGATTTGAATCTGAGTCCTCTGCAAGAGTAGACAGGGCTCTTACAGCTCTATACACTCCTTTAGGAAGTGCTGAAGGTGTCGCTAAATCTGGGGAAAATTTTATTTTCCATCTTTACGAATCTTCCACAATTGGTCATAAATATTTACTTTACAAAGTTTCTTCGGGAGAAAGGCAGTGGGGGAGTTAGAAATTCTTGATTTTAAAGACTCTGGCCCAAGGGGTTATTCCAGAGACATTAGTCCAAGTTTCTATCAGGCTACAGCTTCTGATCATGTAGACATCTGTGAATAGCAGTAAAGGAGGATTTTACACAAAGAACACTCAGAGCCGTACTGTGCTGTCTCTAAAAACTCTTGTTAAACAGACATGATGTTAACTTTAATACCAGCTTACACGTATATGTACTTACTAGTAAGAAATGATTTGTAGGCTTATAAATGGCACAATCCAAGGAAATATATAAAAGTATCTACTATGCTTATTGGCCTTACAGGACTCAATGGGAGAGCTGATTTAGGGTACGAGTTTTCTCAGAAGAAAGAGAGTATCTTTATCGAAGTATGTCCTTGGTAAGTCACCCAAATTACCAGAACCTTAGTTATTACATCAGAACAGCAAAAACAACAGCGGCTAATCAGAGGATCATTATGAAGATGGAAAGCTATGAGGTTCATGGAGCATCTGCTTTGGTCTTGGCAGATGGCTTCAATTCTCTGTGGGAGGTCTCCTTCACAGGATGGAGCTCTCCTCTTTCCTTACAAGGGCTAGATAAAGCATTATAATCAACTACTTCGGGAACACCTAATCCCATCCCCAAATATGAGACTTCCCTACTCTGTCAATAAACTAGAAAGCAAGATCACATTGAGCTTGGCACAAAAGTGTCACAGAGACTGAAAAGAGCTGACATTTATCTTTTATGAAAAATTAAGAAGGAACGGAGAAAGCATGGGAAATTAGAACATGATTCTGTGAATGACTGGTAGAAGGTTGCTTTTCTTTCTGCTGTCTACACTAGTCTCAGATCTGCTAATGATGGCTACACAGGCTTGTAATTCTTTGTAAGACTGGCCAGCTATTGGCCCAAGGGCATTCTTCAATAGTCTTTGTGAAAGAGTAGCAGAGGATCTTGATGCTGCAAGCACTGAAGATTGCATTCAGGGGAAGGGACATTTGGAGAGAAATGCGGATGAAAGGAGAGTCTGGGCAGAAGAACCTAAGTGTGTAAAAGGGAAGGCTTAAAGAACACAGTTTAGAAAAGATGAAGATGCTCTTATCCTAGCAATGAAATGATCAGCTGTTAGGGAGAAAACACAAGTTGCACCAAAACTACTGTCCCCATATAATGGAATTCTGAAGAAGACGGGGTATACATATTATTCTCTGGTTGATGGAGCAACCAAGAGTGACCATAAGTCAGCAGTCTGCAAGGGTGATTGGATCATGGCATCTACTGTTTGTTAGCTACTGATTATGTGCCAGGAGTGATGTTCTGCTGTTTCATGGGTATGATTTTCTTGCTTCTAAAATGAAATAAATGCATCTCTTTAGGCACAGAAGTTCAATAACTTTATCAAAATTTCACATTTTTAAATGGCATAAAAATACCAATGGTATTTTTTAAATAATAACTTAAGAATAAAGAATTGAAGCATAGAAATGATGAAATCTGAATGTATATTAGAAAGCTGGTGTTCATCTTTTAAAAAAGAAAATGAGAGAAAGGACATTGAAAAGAAAATTTGTGCTTAATGTACAAAAACTTAAGACACAGAATGCTGTCTTGATATTGGTGTACTGTATAATGATTTCATTTAAAAATCCATATACACATTGCTTTTGTGGTTGAAAATAATCTATGGGTCAGGCCACATAAGAGGAAGTGAACCATATGAAGTCTACGGGCTTAGAAAGCAGAATGTCTTCGTTTGAATGTTCATATACTTTATATAATGTTCACTGAAACTTGGCTAGGTTATTATGTCTTTCCGGGCTCTTGTATTCTTAGCAAAGGAAAAAAGAGAGCCTATAACATAAAGTGATTAATCATGAAGCTGAATATATGACATGAATTGTCCAGTACTACATGGTCTTCATCACCCATCAGGTATTTATACAGAAACTACCTATAGCATGACGCATACTACACTAGTTTGTAGGGTTACAAAGCCAAGGGTCTACTCTATTGTTCAAGTTGTATCCTCCTAGCCAATTCCTTAGATTTATATATTATCCAATAATTATATAATAATATAATCATATATTATATAATAATGTAGCATATTTAGTGAAAGTGTTTTCTTTCCCCATTGATTTTTTTTTAAATCAACTGTATAAGGTCTTATTTATGTATCCTGGAGACAAATGCTTGTGATTTGAATTTTCAATATTGTACCAAAATAAAGAAAATATTTGTTTTGGGAATATCAGGTACTTACTACCTTTTAAGCCACAAAAAACTGCTGAGCCCTGTGCCTTTCAGCTTCAGGAGCACTTCTGTTCTGCCTATGATGACACTGTCTGAAAGGATTCTAAATTAGAGAGTTCAGAGTGAACATTAGCATTGGTTGAATAGATAAAAAATATTGGTCTAAGGGACAGGATGTCCTTCTGAGGATAACCACAGTACATTACAATGGAGAGATGAGCAGTTGTGATAGACTGACTCTAAGATAAGACAGAAAAAGAAAATGTCTAGGAAATAAATGGGAAAGAAATGAGAACAGCAAGGCCCTTACATTTAGTAAAATGATCAAGTGAGCAGATGTTTTAACATCACAAGATCTTGTGAGAGGGGCTGGGAAGCCAGACAGGCACTGGCCTCCTGACCACTTTGATTTTCAATGTATTTGGTATTTATTATAAAAAATGTGAAGAATTCTTAGGGCAATAAATAATCACTGTTAAGAGGGAGAAGTCAGATTCAACTTGAAGGTGAAAATTTATGAATAAAGAAACACGAAACCATAGTTCTAGTGAGGCTTTGCTCTTATGTCAGATATAATGATGCTTATGATATTTGAACACTAAAGAAATAAAAACCATACTTAGAGTATATTTAAAAATTTTAAACAATCTTTCTATTAGTTTAGAATGGAAAATGGAAAAGGTGACAACATTTTGTTTTCAGTAATAACAAATCTATGCAATATCATATAACTTAGAATATGGTTTTAAGTATATTAAGTTGTTTTTCATTGCCTCTACTCCCCATTCTTCAAGACAAGACAAAACCCAGCCTAGGAAAAGTATCTGCAAAATATATAAAATGTACAGCCTATTTGTAGAATAGAATAATAAAACCACAAACAACCCAATTCAAAAGTGGGCCAGAAATCCAGACAGCCCCCTCATGGAAGACACCCTACAGATGGTGAGTGGGCACATGCGAGGATGCTCAACATCATCTGCCACTGGAGAGTTGCTAATTAAAACCAAAGCTACACAACACCTATTGGAATGACCAAGGTCCAAAACACTGACAACAACCAATGCTCTTGAAAGAAGGAAGCTGCAGGGTATGTGTTGATTGCTGGTAAAAATGCAAAGTGGGTCACTGTCTTTTACTATGCTAAACATATGCTTCTCCAGTCCAGTCAGTGAATCCCTTGTTATTTATCCAGATGAGCATACAAAACCTGTGCATAAATGTTTATATTAGCTTTATTTGTAATTGTGAATAGAAGCATACATTGTGGCACATCTGAGCAGGGAAACATTATTTAGGCTGGAGCAGAAAAAAGTCTTGAAGACATGAAAATAAAGGAAGAAACTTAAATGCCCATCATTGAGTGAAGTAGGGAAATATGAAAAGGCCATGCACCCCGTGATTTTTAACAAGGCAATTCAGAAACTGCAGAACTCTAGGTCTACAGAAAATACAGTGGGTCTACCATGGAGGAAAAAATTTTAAGGATAGTAGAAACACGTGATAAGCAATGATGTACACAGGTCATGTGTTTCTGTCAAAATTTGGTGCGGGAGAATTGTCTGTATTCTGTCAATCATATTTTAAATAAACACTGATTGGCCAGGCAGGAAGTATAGGCGGGTCAACCAGACAGGAAGTAGAGATGGCACAATGAGAACAGGAGAATTCTAGGAAGGAGGAAGCCCATCCCTCCCATTCCTGCCCAGACCACTGAGAAGTAAGATGTAACCTACCCGGCTGAGAAAAGTACCGAGCCATGTGGCTAACATAGATAAGAATAATGGGTTAACATAAGTGATAAGAGCTAATAAGTAGCCTCAGCTAATGGACCAATCAGTTTATAACCTAATATAGACCTCTCCATGTGATTTTCTTTGGGACTTGCTGGCTGTGGGACCTGGTGGGAGGACAGAAACCCCACAAGCCAGCCCCTCATGTTACAAAAATTTATAATGTTCACTAATGCACAGAATTATCTGTGGTCATGAGTCAAGGTAGATCAATTGATTGTATAAACACCTTCCCAGGTGATGGGTATTGGTAGCTGGGAAGGCCATGCGTGTGGGGGGCAGGCAGGATTCAGGCTAAACCTGCTCCCTCTTCTCAGTTTTTCTGGAAACCACAATTTGTTCTAAAATAGCAATTATTTCCCTTTGAAAGGGAATGATTCATAACCACAGGATAGAATGTGTGATTCTATTGATGAGTACACAAGGCAGCCAGTGGTGATGCAGCCTAGGATTTTGTTTCTGTGGGACAACAGACTGGAAGAAGCTGTGAGTTGCTTTTCTGGGGATGTTAGTGATGTTCTCCTTCTTTATTTGATTGATAAACAAGCACCTTGTGAGTATTGATAGAGACTTATATTCCTGGTGTCATTTTTGAGTCTATAATTTATCTCAATGTTTTACTATAAAGACTATGTATGTTAAGAAAAAAACCTAATTATACCTTTAAATTTAATTTCCCGGGAATCATTTGTTTTCTGTGGTTGGGGGAGAAGCAAGTATCTAACTTACATTTTCTTTCAATAATTTGTAAGAAATTGATAAAACATGGGTAGATCAGTTAGAACTTAGCCAGGAAGAGAAACATTAACTATTTAAAACAGAATTTAGTCTAATGAAATGATTACACAAAAGATTGAAGAACTGGGAAACTAAGTTGGTATCTTAGTTACTCTTCTATTGCTGTGGGAGACACCATGACCAAGGCAACTTATTAAAAGTAAGTATTAAATATGGGGGCTCGTAGTTCCAGAGAGTTGGAGTCTATGATCATCATGGTGGGAGGCATGGCAGCAGACACTCAGGAATGTTGTTGGAGCAACAACTGAGAGCTTACATGTTGAGACAACAACCAAGAGGCCAAGAAAGGAACTGTGATGGTGTGAACACCAGGCATGCCTCACCTGATGGTAGCACACCTCCTCCAAAAAGGTTATACTTCCTAATCCTTCCCAACCAGCTACATCACCTTGAGGCCAAAGATAAAAAAAAAAATATGAGTTTTATGAGCCATTCTCATTCAAACCACCACAGCTGGGGATTGTGAAGGAGCCTTAAGGTATTTAAGTCATAGTTTTGCATGCAAATGGATGGAAATAGAAAACACTATCCTGAGTGAGGTGTCCCAGACCCAAAAAGATGAACATGGGATGTACTCACTCATAATTGGTTTCTAGCCATAAATAAGGGTCACGGAGTCTACAATAGGTGAACCTAAAGAAGCTAAGTAAGAAGGTGACCCCAGGGAAAAACATATAGTTATCCTCTTGGCTACGGGAAGCAGACAAAATTGCCGGGGAGAAAATTGGGATCTTGGGGGTGGGGTGGGATGGGGGTAAGGGGAGATGGGGAGAGAAAAGGTAGACAGGAAGGAGGGGGGGACTTGGGGAAACAGGAGGATTGGGATAAAGGAAGGTTGGATAGGGGAGCACGGAACCACAATTCTTAGTTAAGGGAGCCACTTTAGGGTGGGCAAGAGACTTGACCCTAGAGGGGATCCCAGGTGCCCAAGCTGAGGTCCCCAGTTAGTTCCTTGGGCAGCTGAGGATAGGGAACCTGAAATGACCCTATCCTAGAGCAATACTGACGAATATCTTGCATATCATCATAGAACCTTCATCTGGTGATGGATGGAGATAGAGACAGAGACCCACACTGGAGCACTGGACTGAGCTCCCAAGGTCCCAATGAGGAGCAGAAGGAGGGAGAACATGAGCAAAGAAGTCGGGACCATGAGGGGTGCACCCACCCACTGAGACAGTGGAGCTGATCTACTGGGAGCTCACCAAGGCCAGCTGGACTGTGACTGAAAAAGCATGGGATAAAACTGGACTCTCTGAGCATGGCGAACAATGAGGGCTGATGAGACGCCAAGGACAATGGCACGGGGTTTTGATCCTACTTAATGTTCTGGCTTTGTGGGAGCCTAGCCAGTTTGGATGTTCACCTTCCTAGATATGGACGGAGTGGGGAGGGCCTAGGACTTACCACAGGGCAGGGAACCCGGACTGCTCTTTGGACTGGAGAGGGAGGGGGAGAGGAGTGGGGGGAGGGGGAGAAGGGTGGGAGGAAGGGGAGAAGGGTGGGAGGAGGGGGAGGGAAATGGGAGGCTGGGAGGAGGTGGAAACTTGTTTTTTTTTTTTTCCTTTTCTCAATAAAAAAAAAAAAAGAAGTGACAGGCACTGACATTTAGAGTTCTTAAGAACAAAGGAAGAGGTAGTGTCCCTGGATGTCAGAATTAAAAATCACCTGGGGAAGCTGGAAGTGATGAAATATAGCCCAATCGGTTCAGTCCCTGATGTGGCTAGACCTGGGCAAGACCAGCAATGGACCTGAAGATAAAGACGGCTACAGACAGGCACACCTGCAGAATAAAGAGCTCAGAAACACATTTCTCATTTTCATTTTCTTTTCTGGAGTAATGGCTATATGAGCCAAATTGATTTACTAAGAGTTTTGAAATGTACTCAGTTTAGTTCTTGGGAATTACGAACAAATCTCTTGAAAATAAAGGAAATCATTGCTTTAGTTCTATACTCAATCTCAGTAAAGAGAATTTGCACACACTTAGGACTTGGAGGATCTCTTATTTACATTGTGAAGTTAATCAAAGCAAGAGAGGGTATCTTGGTGTTCGGAAAGCAGTCATTCCACCACCCACAGGATTTTGATCTTTTATTTCATTTGCTTAAAGTGGATGATGATCTGAATTTTAATCAAAGTTGTTTTCAAACTTGTAATAGTGTCACTTTGACTTCTGTTGTATTTTAACTGCTTTAAGTTGATTAAACAGTTTTCACTTGCATAACTTTTAATGTGGAGAGAAAGCATGGGTGCCTGTAGAATTAGAATTACAATTGGTGGGGGCTCTGTCAGTGGCATTGTTCAGTTAAGAACTAAACATGACTCTATTCTGACGTTCTGGCCAAAGCTATTCTTTAAAGTAGACAATAAAAGAAACAATACTGCTTCAAAAGCTCCTCTTGGGGCGAAGAGGGGATTCTCAATGTGACCACCGTTTACCTTCTTCGTTTCCCTCTTCTCTGCTGAAGAACGGCAGCATGTTCCAGGAAAATTCTATACAACTAATTTGAGACCCTAGACTTTTTGTACCATTGGAGGCTAATTACAACTGATAATTCAACATGAACTTGTTTATTTATTTTATAGCCAGACAAAACAAAGCTGTGTGTGTGTGTGTGTCCGTGTGTGCGTCTCTGTGTGCGCACACTGTTTATGTTTCATTGTACAGCACATTGTAAGATTTAGTTTACCTCACCTTTATTGTTCTTTAGTTTTAATTTAGACAATATAAAATCCCCAGCAGGAAGCTTTGGGAATTAATGACATGTAACATCACCACCATCAACCTTCCTTTCCGTTTATGCCATTAACCTGGTTATCTGCTACCTCATTCAGACTTAATATTCTAAAATTTATTTTCATATTTTAAAATATTAGGTAACTTTTGGAATAGAATAAAGTATTGTGGATTTTACCCCAGTATAAACCATCTCTCATGTGACTTCAGTCCAGATAGCGTCTGTTTACAGAACGAAAACAAGAGTAAAGGACTTTACCTTTAAAAGTCTTTAGTTAGAAACTCCCTAAAAGTATGGAATGAGAGATATTGATACTATATAACCCCAATTTTTATGCAAAGAAGGAAAGCACATTTTGAGAGATTAGATTAATCAATTTTGTCTTAAGCACTCACCTAAAATTCAATGAAGAAACAGCATGGACCTCCCAGAACCATCTATTTAGTTTTCTTTGAAGTAACAGTTGATTGTGGCATTTGAAGGCTTCTCAAGTGCTCCCCGGGGCTTGTAAATCCTATTTATCTATAATGAAAAAAAAAAGAACACTTGCATTGAGCCATTTATACTAACATGCTTACAGAAACAGGGGCCTGAGTTGGAAGTTCTAGAATACACAGCCTCATACAAACCCCTCTACACTATTAGCAATTTGGAATGCCCTACTCAGCAACTCAGCTTTCATTAGCCGAGACAAATGAACTTTTATTCTAGATGTTCTTTGACAGATGAGGATGGCCAGGCCTGGAGGCATGAAGTCACCATGCAGGATGAGGCAGCTGGTTAGCAACGGCTATGAGTTCTTAATATAGCCCTTTATTTTCAGTTGATTAAGAATGAGAGATGAGAGAGAACATGGATTCTTCTGTTTTCTGAATAGGCAATTTTCTAGAATATTGCACCATCATAATTTCTACTAAAGCCAAGGAAATTACTGCGGAGGTCAGATGCCTCAGAACAACATGTTCTCTGAGAGCATAAACTCGAGCAGTTTTAAATAGCTATCCCACAGGAGCTGACGAGAGCAAGGCAGCCTAGAGCTATTTAATAATCCATATGGCGATTGTGATATGGAATAATCACACATAAATAGTAAATAGTTCATGATTTTAAAAGTGAATGTTTTTGAAATATTTTGCTTGCTGAGAGAACTTATATATTAGAAAGAAGAGATGGGCACCCTGTGCCTAAGGTTTCCTGAGAGTGATTCAGGTACATTACATGCATCTTCATCAATATCTCTTTCCCCTACCCTTCATCTCCTGGATCACTCTCTTCTCCTTGCCTGTAGTTGGCATTGTTATTCCAGGTGCCAGATATTTGGAGGAGCAGAAACCTGAAGCTCTGCAACCCATTTATTGAGCTAAAAGCAAGGAGTGAGGAGAAGGGCAGAAGGCGAGAGTGGAAGTTGGGAAGGGAAGGGAAGACAGGATCCCCAAGGATACTGGATGCCCTCTGCCCCGAGTGACAACCCTTCACTCTCCTCTTGGACATTCTTCAACCTGAGCTGTCTAAAATGACCACCGTAGTGTTGGAGCTTTCCTGTCTGGCTTCAGATGTATTTTGATTTTGGAAACACTTTGAAAACTCGCTATCCTCGCATCTGAAACCTCAGCATCACTTATTACATCCTAAGACTTATTACTAGAAGGTAACTTCTCACAGTGCAATTGGCTCTTGTGTCCAGTAGAGTTTGCCTTCCCTATCCTGGATGACATTCTAGGACAAATCTGGTATCATTTGAATTAAATGTGTTGTTGCAGTTGAACTACTTTGTTAATTTTTGCTTTCTGAAAGTACATCATAATTATTTTTTTTGAAAATTGATATTCTGGTAAACTAACAACAGCCATGTATTTGGAAATTAGCTACATATTAAAATATTATCCCTGATCTCATTAATATTGCTTCAAACCACAGGATGAGAAAATAAATGGGACTTACAACACAATCTTTCTCTATAATCATGTATTTCATACATACACACATATAAGCAAGTTTACACATAACTGACAATATAGACTCACTATTGACTTCTTAGGGTCCCATTTCTGACTGTTTCTCCTCTCCCTGTCAGTCTTAGGCTGGGTCCTTTGCACGTTGATTTTCTATTTTGGTCTCTGGTCCCTGCTGATTGCAGCAGACTTGGAAGACCAGGTGGCATCCTCAAAGTCACTGTGCTGAATAATCTCACAGGTGGCTACCTTGATAAGATTCATAACTTTAATAAAAATTGTACCCTAGATGATAAACCAATTGCAAGATGGTTTTCATGTCTTCTATTCTTCCTCCACCACAAAGTGGCCCTGCTTCAGTCTGTATCTCAGGGACAGTGATTAAATACCAGTGTCTAATACAGAGGTAGATCCATCTTTGCTATTACTGCCTTCTGGTCCCTGTGGCACACCCAGCATGTGCAGAGCCTGAGAGTGGCTGCCTCCAAAACTGTTGTGAATTAAAGTCATCAATCCTATTCTCTGGTATGCTGCAGCCTACAGGACATTGGAAATCAACATTCCCACATGAACAGTAGGTGGAAATAGAAAATGATAACTTTTTCTCTTTTTATTTTTATTTGAATTATAGGTCAGCTAACTTAAATTCTAGGTTGCCTAACTTAGAACCTCAGAATTTCTAGTGTGAGCTAAGTTAAATTTTAGTGTTAGGACATTAAATAAAAAACACCATCTCTCGGTCTGGAGAGATGGGTCAGAAGTTGAGAGCATTTACTGGTCATGTAAAGGTCCTGATTTTAGTTCCCAGCATCTACCTCGAGCATCTCACAGCCTCCTGTATCTCAGGTTCCAGGGGATCCTATACCCTTTTCTGACTTTCACAGACACCTGCACACATGTGGTGTACATACAAGCACTCAGGCACACAAACATATACATGAAATAAAATATATATTATCTCTTTTGCTTAGCTCCCTGGGAAATTTCTAGCCAGGGCACAGGTTGATATTAAAAGTCAGTATCTCACCACAGCCTGCCACAAGAGAAACATGCATTTTGTTGACTTTTAATGCCCTATCTTAGGGATATGGTATTGAAGAAAGCTGAAGGAAGCAATTTTTTGCTTACTAAGGGAATTACCTCAAATTCAAACATGTGTAATTTGAACGGGCCATTTAAAAGAAAGCAAAGAGACATGACATTAATCTAATGATGGATCTCACTGTCCTCTGTAGTGGTGAATTTGACAAGTGACATGAATTCAGTACACAAAATTAAAACAATTCTACATTAATAGAATATAGACTAACATGAGATGGAGCCATGTTCTTATGCCCACACCCTAGTGAGCTGTCTGCTC